GTAGATGTGAAGAGAGACAACAACTCTGTGACAGTTGTAGGGAGCAGTTTGAGTGTAGGTGTGAAGAGAGACAACAACTCTGTGACAGTTGTAGGGAACAGTTTGAGTGTAGGTGTGAAGAGAGACAACAACTCTGTGACAGTGGTAGGGAGCAGTTTGAGTGTAGGTGTGAAGAGAGACAACAACTCTGTGACAGTTGTAGGGAGCAGTTTGAGTGTAGGTGTGAAGAGAGACAACAACTCTGTGACAGTGGTAGGGAACAGTTTGAGTGTAGGTGTGAAGAGTACCACTGTCGCAGAGTTGTTGTCTGTCTCTCTTCACACCTACACTCAAACTGTTCCCAAACAACTCTGTGACAGTGGTAGGGAGCAGTTTGAGTGTAGGTGTGAAGAGAGACAACAACTCTGTGACAGTGGTAGGGAACAGTTTGAAGTGTAAGTGTGAAGAGAGAGAATATCTCTGTGAGATTGGTGAGGAACAGTTTAAGTGTAAGTGTGAAGAGAGAGAATATCTCTGTGACAGTTGTGGGGAACAGTTTGAAGCGTATATGTGCTTCCTGTAAGGACAACGGATGAATTAAGTAGAGTTTAACACTACGTGCAGACGAAACGCTTCTTAATCAGCGACGTTTTCTACACGATGATAATTTCTTCTGGATGGTTGTTTAAAAGCACAACCATGATGCATCAAACTGCTGGAGAATCTAAGCATAATAAAATTTGTATTTGAAGTACTTTAAAATGCTGTTAGTGTTAATTAATTCCAAACATTACGATAATTAAAACTGGTTGTAAGTATCAACTGAAGCCAAATCTTCTACATAGCAGAAGAACGAGTCCTGTAGTCTACAAAAAAACATATGTGATAAAAATAGACGCCTCTGTTTACTCAAGGATTGGTTTGTTTTGAATTTCGCGCAAAGCTACACGAGGGCTATCTGCATTAACAGTCCCTAATTTAACAGCGATAGACAAGAGAGAAGGCAACTAGTCAACACTACCCACCGCCAACTCTTGGGCTACACTGTTACGAACGAATAGTGGGATTCACCGTCACATTATAACGCCCCCACGGCTGAAAGGGTGAGCATGTTTGGTGTGACGGGGATTCGAACCCGCAAAATTGCGAGTCGAGCACACTAGACACCAGGCCATTTATTCGATGTGAGTCTGTGAGATCGAAACCCATCATCGGACATGCTTTCCCTTTCAGCCGTGGAGGCATTATATTATGACAGTCAATCACTTCAAAATTACGGTCAGCTTTGCACAAAATTTAACAAACAAACAAAAATTCATTTTAAGAATTGACCTTTTTGTCAAAATGTAAGCGGTCTGTAGTTTCAATGGTTACTTACTCTTCAGTAGTAAGATTTCTTATAGCAAAGCCGCATCGGGCTATCTGCTGTGTCCATTGAGAGGAATCGAACCCCTGATTTTAGCGTTGTAAATCCGAAGACTTACCGCCGTCCCTCCGGGGGGGGGGGACAGGAAGAATAGTCTTAGAAGAATTTGACAAACCAAATAAGAAGAAAAATAACAGTCTGAATTTAATAAATTATAGACACAAATAATTTGACTAACAATTTAAAGTCGTTTTTATCAATGATTTTTAACATAGCTAAGGCACGAAGATTTTTTGTATTAAAATAAACCAATATCTTAAAATAAAATATACATTAATGATTGCAACTTCGTAGCGCCGAATGATACGTTTATCTTAAAAACTCTAGCTGGATAATTACACTTTCTAACAGTTAATAGCAGAGTATTTCCAAATTACAAATAACATATTTAAACTA